ATTATTTCTGGAATTCTTTGAAATAATATGTGGGCCCACCTCTGTCTATATATTTATTATATAACAGTAAGTATATAAAAAGTTACAAAATCCAACATCCATTTATTATTTTTAAAATTGCCAGCACATTTTGAATAAAAGGAAACATATATATTGAAATATATATATTTAGGTGCAGAATTTTTCAGTTCTGAATAGGAATGTTTACAGACAATATCTTTGTCTAGACATGACTTTACAAGAAAGATAATTGTCTTTCAAAATTAAGTATAATATCAGCTGTAGGTTTTTGTTTTCATTTCTTTTTTTTTTTTTTGAGACGGAGTTTTGCTCTTGTTACCCAGGCTGGAGTGCAATGGCGCGATCTCGGCTCACCGCAGTCTCCGCCTCCTGGGTTCAGGCAATTCTCCTGCCTCAGCCTCCTGAGCAGCTGGGATTACAGGCACGCGCCACCGTGCCCAGCTAATTTTTTGTAATTTTAGTAGAGACGGGGTTTCACCATGTTGACCAAGATGGTCTCGATCTGTTGACCTCGTGATCCACCCGCCTCGGCCTCCCAAAGTGCTGGGATTACAGGCTTGAGCCACCGTGCCCGGCCTTGTTTTCATTTCTAAAGTTAAAGAAGTTTCCTTTTATTTGGAATTTGCTGGTAATTTTTAAAACCATGAATGGATGTTAAGTTTTGTAACTTTTCCTTTACTTATTGTTATAATTGTATTTTTTCTTCTTTACTCTGCAAATATGATGGATTGCATTAATTGGTTTTCAAATGTTGAACTGGCTTTGTATCTCTATTGTAACATCTCTTTACGGTAAAGTGTTAAGGTTGTTAAATGCTATTTCAATTGACTAGCGTTTTGTTAATGATGCTTACATCTATGTGAGTGGTAGTGGTCTTTTTTAAATCTCTGCCTTGTGCATCCGGACTTGCTTGTTCTCATAGAGATGAAAAGTGTTGCTTTCTTTTAAATTTTCTGGAAGACACTGTTAAGAACTGGCATTAATTCTTCTTTAAATCCTTGGCATAATTCACAATTAAGGCCATTTAGGTCTGATATTTTCTTTTTTAAAAAGATCTCAGCTACTAATTTAATACTTCTTATATGATTTATTCATTCTTGGGGGAGTTTTGGTAGTTTGTGTCTTTCAAGAAACTGATTCATTTCATATAAGTTGTTAAATTTTGTCCATAGAGTTTTGTTGCAATATTCCCTCATTATCCTCATATTATCTATGAGGTCAGTTGTGATAATCTCTCTTTTCTTCTAATAACAGTAATTTGTGCCTTCTCTTTTATTTATTGTTCAAACTAACTGAAAGCGTAATCAATTTTGTTTGTTCTTTTTTAGGTAAAATAAACTAGCTTCTAGTTTCACAAATCTGCAGCTTCTAGTTTCACAAATTTTCTGTAGTTTTGTTTATTCTCAATTTCATTAATTTATAATTGTACTTTTTCTTTCTTCTGTTTACTTTGAATTTGGTTTCCTGTTAGTTTTGTTTTTGTTTTCTCCTCTCAGGAGGTGGAAGCTTATATTACAAACTTGAGAACGTCAATCTTTTATGATATGATTAAATAATGCTGTAAATTTCCCTCTAATCTTGCTTTAAGTATATTTCTCATAATTTGATATGTTTGATTTTCACTTTCATTTAGTTTAAAATATTTTCTATTTTCCCTTAAGAATTCTGCTTTAATCCATGGATTATTTAGTACAGCATTGATTGCTTTTTAAAATAGTTTTGGATTTATCAAACTTATCAAACTTCCTTCTATTGATTTTATGGTTAGTTTTATTTTCATCAGATAACAGAGTTTGAGTAATTTCCATTCTTTTAAATTTGATAAGATTTGTTTTGTGACCTAGAATGTGATCTGTCTTGGAAGATGAAAGCATTGCTAAATCATGCAGATCGATTCTTTGTTGTGTAATTGTTCTGTGCATTGGAGGATGTCTAGCATCTGGGTCTTCTGTTCCCTAAATGCCAGTATTTATCACAATCATTTTGCAAGCAAATTTATGTCAGAAATTTTTAAATGTCTTTGGGGGCAGTGATGCCTCTTGTGAGAAATGACTGGTTAAAACAAACATAAATATTAAACTTGTTTAATAAACTCAGTATTTTAATATTAGGTATTTTAGATTTCCTTGGTCTTAATCCCTTTCAAACATTGTAAAATGTAATAATTTAATTACTTGACTTTTGCCTCTTTCAATAAATTAAGGAAAACAAATAAATTCAGAATATAATTTTTTATCAGTAAATTGGCATTTTATTTTAGCTTTTTTTCTCTCTGTGTGTATGTGTGTGTGTATGTGTGTGTATACACAGAAGTACATGTTAACTATTATCAGTATTGGAGATTTTGAATTTCCTTGTGTCATACCCATATATATTTGCATAATGAATAACAATTGAACAAACATTACTGCAAAATCCCTCTCTTCCATATTCCTAACTTTTATTGTGGTAAAACTGATGTGAGTTCATTTAAAAAACTTCTTTAACTATTGTCTAAAGGAATGTGGCTTGAGTGAACGCTCTTGATAGGTAGTGGTGGGCAAACTGAGCCATTTGTTAATCACTTAATAATGACAGCTTACGGGCAGCAATTTAGACCAGCTGCACTGGACTGTGTGGACTCATCATTATTTCTTCTCTGTGAAATAAGCTATCATTATGGTTCGCACAAACATATTTCTGTCTTTTCATAATTAGAACAGTTCACCTGGGAGAACTAATGAAGGAGAAAGCTACTGCTTTGCAGAAAGGATAGCCTAACAGAAATAACAGTAACGGATTTAGAAGCAAAATTTTTCTCCTGTTTTCATTTAACAAATAGTGTTGCTGTGTGCTTTACTGATGCTGAGGACAATTAGTTTAAAAGTCACAAACAGTTCATTCCTCAGTAGAAATCAATATAACTTCAAAAAACAGTATATCAATCTTGCACTGATAGAAGTGATAAAAACTGATTTATAATAGCTAATGGAGTTTTTTCTTTTTACTTTCTCATGTTTTAAACTATATGAGAGTGTGTGGATAGGGATCTTGGTGAATATTTTAATTATTTTGAGAACAAGTTAAACTGAACTGCATAATTTCCCTCAAGTTCTCTAGAAACTCAAACAAAATGAGTCAACATGTAATACATTATTGTATTTCAGTAAATATCAGCACATTTCACAAAAACAATTAGTATGAATAGTTTTACTACTCCTAGAAAACAGCTTACTGAGGAATTGGTTTGTGGTAGATACTATGCCACATTATCAAATAAAATCTATTTTAATCTTCGCAATAAAACGTAGACTGGTGCTAAATCCAGCATAAGGAACACCTAGAAACTGAAACTGAATCTGACTGTTCCAACAGTTTCCATTCTCAAATAACTCCATACTACCCCTAAAGAGTAGAAATTAGTGTAGCTTAGGAGACTGAGATGATGAAGAGAGTGTCCCACCAAGTAATAATAAAATGTAAAAAGGCATGAAGAGAGTGAGGGCATGACTTGTTTACAGATCCATAAGGAGATTTGCACATGGCTAAAGGTTGAAATTCAAAGAGCACAGTTACTAAGAATAAGGCTATGAAGATACTCAGGAAGGAAATGAGAGAGGGATTTCCCAACAATGTTAAGCAGTTTGGGCTTAACCCTGAGAGCACCACAGAATCACTGAAAGATTTTATTATGCTCATTAAACTTTGCTTAGATCATACAGTCACTGTACTGCAGGGATTTAAGAATAAAAACAATGAGTATTCGTTAAGTTGATTTTGTATTAAAATTGCTAGATAGCAAGTCTTGGCTTTGGGTGGCAGGGGGAGAGACTTAGATCATAGAATTAAAAACATCTATTTCAAAGTAAAATTTAAGAATAACACCATAGTTTCTGGATAGGAGATTGGCTAATTCTTTTTAAAACTTCTTGGTAAAGTCTTAAGTAATCTTAGAAAAAAACAGAGGGCACAGATAGATTAAAGATGTTAACCATGTAGAAATTTTCTATCTCTGTAAAGGAGCAGAAAACTCAGGCTCGAGATCAAAAAATTAAATAATAGAATAAGAAGTTAGACTGGCATGGGATGCAGGAAGGGAAATATGAAAAGAACATCAGTTTCAAGGCCATGAAGACTGGAATTCATCTAAAATTGTAGTTGTCCTGTGGTGACAGAGAATACCCTTGTTCCTGAAATAAGGTTTTAAACTGAGTAACAACACTTACTACTGCTGGAGAAGGAGCAAAAGCTTGAAGACAGACCCTATCTGTATTATAAGTGAACAATAAATAGTGAAAGTTAAGGAGCAGCAGGTAAACTGAGAGTAAATCTTCAGCACCACCGACTCTGAACTCAAGACAAGAGGAGATAATTATTAGCGGAGATGAATCATGGGCTTCACAGGAGATAATTATAGCAATAACAAATTACAAACTCAGCCTAACTTCATCTTTCAATTTCCAACTACATTGACTCCAACTTTCACCTTAAAAACCTCAGAGAAACTGCCATATCCAGATGTAAAGGTCATTTACCCAATATGGAGGTATAATATGAAGTATGATAAATTGAAGACATGTATTACAAACACTAGTACAGCCAGTAAAATGATATACCTGTTAAGCATTAAAAAATAAATAGGCATTTAGAATACATGGTTACAAATAGGTGAGTGGTATAGGACTAAATCTCTTTGTGTTGAAGAAATAGTTCACAACTCACACATATTACAAAATTACTCTGTATATGGAAAGTCCTAAATTAGTATTTTAAAGTTTTTCTCTAAATAAGATTGTAATGACTCAACTCAGTGGCCTCTATTGATCAATTCAAAATATGTTTATTAAAATTATTACATGTATTACATATATATTATTAATAACATGCTATATACTGTTATATATAATAATATATAACAATGACTATACATGTAAATTCAGTCATGTTCATTATTAAATTATGTTTTGTTTGATTAATTTTGTTAATGTTATGGGCTCAGGTTTGAAAATGACTACTAAAATTTTTTTGTGTGATTCAGTAAATAAAACTAACAAAGATTAACAAAAAGGGAAATTATATAAATAATCTTCATATTTGTTCAACAATCATTCTAACTATTAGAAATCCAACTAGTTTGAAAACCACAGATCACAGTTATATTCAGTTTTTGCCCTTAAGATAATTTAAACTTTAAAAGCACGTTCTTTTTATTAATGATAATGAGGCAGACAACCTTTTGGTTAGACAGCTTGAGAAAGGTCAAAAAGGCTAACCTGTATGGAAATCAAATTTTGAAACTGAATTCAGACTACACAAAAAAAGAGAAGTTGCCCTGTGCCTATATTAGTATGTATGGATAGCAAGGCGAGTTTTAAAAAATAATTTAAAATGGTCTTACTTTTTTGCCTTAATAATATATCTGTTCTTTTCAAAGAGGCCATGCTGTAAACATTTCAGCAGCTGAAAATACATGGAATTCTGTATACTACCTGGTAAACATTGCACAAATTATTCAGTCTGGCTGTCTACTTTGATTTAATTGGAGAGAGAAACTGTAAACTGTTCTATTTATATTCTGAGAACACAGTATCTCTAAAGACAAAACTGAATAAATTTCATCATTATTCAATAAAAAATTTGTTTATAAGGTCAGTTTCATAGATAACTAAAAATAAATACTAATTATTTTTAAGTTTGTGAAAAGTAAAAGCACTAAAGAGAAATGTTAACTCTCATTACATGTAAACTTTTATCACAGATTACACAATTATACCATTTTCCATTAAAAAGTCTCTATTTTAATTCATGGAGCCTGTTTTTTCTTAAGACAATGGCAAATCCCTTGTATATGTATACTACATTTTCTGTATCCAACTATGTGCTGATCAACATTTGTTTCCACATGTTGGCTACTACGCCCAATGCTTCAATGAACATAGGATCTTTCCAACATCCTGATTTCAATTCTTTAAGATAAGTACCCCAAAGTGGGATTGCTGTATTGTAAAAGAGTTATAGTTTTATTATTCTGAAGAGCTTCTATACTGTTTTCCATAGTTTCTGTACTACTTAGCATTCTCACAGTGTGCAAAGGGTTCCAGTTTCCTCACATTTTCACTAACACTTCTCTCTCTTTTTTTTTTTTGCGTTCTATTAGAACTCAAAGCTATCAGAACATGTGTGAGCTGATATCAGGCTTTAAAAAAGAAGGCAAATCTACACTAAGCTGCAGTACAGATGAGCCTTGAGGAGGGGGAGCATTCTCACAGTGTGCAAAGGGTTCCAATTTCCTCACATTTTCACTAACACTTCTCTCTCTCTCTCTTTTTTTTTTTTTTTTTTTTTTGAGTTCTATCAGAACTCAAAGCTATCAGAACATGTGTGAGCTGATATCAGGCTTTAAAAAAGAAGGCAAATCTACACTAAGCTACAGTACAGATGAGCCTTGAGGAGGGGGAGCTAAGTGAACAAAGTCAGTCAAAGGAAGACAAATACTACGTGATTTTATTTGCACGAAGTATATAAAATAGTCAATTCATAGTGTCAAATAGTGGAATGGTGTTTGCCATGGACTGACAGGAGAGGAAAGCAAGAATTGCTAATCAATAGACGTAAAGTTGTAGTCAAGCAAGATAAATAAGCTCTAGAGATAGGCTGTATGACATTGGACCTATAGTTAATAACAATGTAAGCAAATATTTTCAATCCTTTTTGGCTGTTTGTATTAGAAGTTAAGACGACTTATTCTCCATCTTTTATCTTTATTTATAAGTGTCAAATTTCTTGTGTTTAAAATATTAAGATTCCATTCTCTCAAGGGAACTGTTACTTAAATTGTATGACTCATGGTTTCAATTTTAACATTAAGCAAGTCTGAATTAAAATTTAAGGTTTCATAAGGTATAGTTCCACACCACAGAATTTTAACCTTTCTCAGTTATACTATGTGAGATATCAAAAGACACATGTTCGGATTCATTTTTGCTACTTAAAATTTCCCACAGGAGGATTTATTTTATGAACTCTGTGTGTGTGTGTGTGTGTGTGTGTGTGTATACACACACACAATTAGCACACAGACATAAAATAAGAACAAACTATACTATGGCTATATTGTTCTTGTCCCAGTCTACATTATTTTTTAACGGCCTTGAGTTGTGCAAACACTTACTTGAACTTTCAAAAATAATTTTACTTAGGATACGTAAGAAATTTTAAAACCACTGTAAGAATTTTCTAGATGAATAAAATAGTTATTTCCTTTCTTTGTATTTTATTTCATTAGCTTGTGCGGAACAGGTGGTTTTTGGAGCTAGGTAAGGCCTATCACTTTGGGATATCCCACACTTCCCTGCCATAATTGCCACTGCAACATAACCCCATTGGCCTGACAACCACCCCTCCCAACTACCACAGTGACCATGGCCAGCCCCTATTGGAAGCTTTATGGCTCCACGCATTGCCTGAGAGACCAGAATACCTATCCTGGCCAACATAGGGCAAGCTTATGTTCCCCTACTACTACTGCAGCTGGTACACTCTGGAAAGTGCTACCTTCTGACTTGAAGCCAACCAACTGAGACCATTATAGCAACTCATGACAGAGTAACCCTGCTCCTAAGAAGAAGAAAACACAGCTAATAGCACTGCCAGCAACATCCTGGCTAAGCAGAGACCCTGAGTCTATCCATGTCACAACTTCACTTCTAGCATAACCAGCACTCGAGAAAGCCAGCACACCAAACATTTATAACCAAGGATTCTCAAATCTATTTCTTTCTTCTGCCACCTCCATCAGAGCAGGTGCGGGTTTCCATGGCTGGGAGACCTGAAGACATATCACAGGAATCTTTGCGGAAATTCCCCAGCACCAGCCCAGAACCTGGTAGCCTTGCTGGGTGGGCAGACCCCCCAGTAACAGTCACTGCAGCCTGGCTATCAGGAGGCCCATCCCTATGGCAAGAGGGAGAGCACCACATCAAGAAATTACCTTGTGGGGCAAAACAGTCTGAACAGCAGACCCTGAGTTCCAGATCTTTATATGGAAAAAGGCTACCCAAATAAGAAGAAACCAGAAAAGTAATTCTGGTAATATCATGAAACATGGTCTTATAACACTCCCAAATTCACACTGGTTCCCCAGCAATGGATCCAAACCATGAAGAAATGTCTGAATTGCCAGATAAAGAATTAATAAGGTTGATTATTAAGCTACTCATTGGCATACAGAGAAAGGTAAAAGCCAACTTAAAGAAATTTAAAAAACTTTAACAGAATATGAATAGAAAATTCTCCAGTGAAATAGATATCATAAAGGAAAAACTGTCACAACCTCTGGAAATTAAAGACACACTTAAGAGAAATACTAAATGCACTGAAAATTTTCAACAATAGACTAGAACAAGTAAAACAAAGAACTTTGTATGTAAAGCAAAATGGTAAAATATTGTTTATAACGTTTTCATCCTAGATCCTAATTTTATTTAGCCTATAAAAACATGTTTTGTAGAGCTTTGATATACAGAGATTTCCCAGAACGCAATGATTATTTCCATTAAAAGACATTTGCATGCTGGATTTGAATCTTTACTGAAAGTTGCTTGCAATTTTAAAAAGCATAGCACACTATAAATGATACTATCATTCATTACAGATGCTAAATAAATCAGCCTGTGTTTTTGGTTGTATCACATGTTGTGATTCTATGCTGAGGTTCAAGTATATAATGTTTTGTTTTGTTTTTTCCAGCATAGCTGTGCCCAGTCGGATATATACAGACCTGCAAATTTGAATGCAAATTGTTTTCTTTTATACTGTAATATATTAATATACATACAAACAGTGTTTTCACAGTTATTAGTCCAATAACTGGCTTACAACTCTTTATTACGGGGACTGCCAAAATAGCATCCCAACTTGTCTCTGTCTCTAGTTCTCCCTATTCTCCACACTCAACATCTAAATTTAGATTAAATCAGATGCACTCTTTTCCCCGAAATCTTTTAATGACTCCACTTGTTTGTAAACATTGAATTCAAATTTATTTCATTATGCCACTTGTATATATTTTTAAAGTTTATATGTGATTATATAGGCTATAATCCTGGCCTTTAACATGTGGAGCCAAAGTAATCATTAACTATGTTGAAAATTCAATTTTCAGATAGCTTCTATGATGATTTATAAACAACGGGGCATACTTTCTGACAATGCCATTACTTCCTGAATGTTTTTTACCTAGGATGTACTAGGATAAAAGTGATGTCATCTCTTTCATAGTCTTCTTGCCAACTGATTAGTATTTACTTTAAAAGACAGGGATTTTTGAGTGTATTTTCGTGCACTTGTTTTTATAATGAAATATAGTATACAACTAAGGAGAGCGCAAAATATCTGGATGTTTAAGGAATAACAATACAATGAACATACATATATATGCTTGTTAGGTTTTAAGCTTAGAAGAAGTACATTTTAAAAGTCTTCTATAGGTCCATCCTAGTCCCACAAGTATTCCTTGTGCTATATTTAAATTATTTACTATTTACAGACTTTCTAATTATATATATCCTAAAAAAATCATTTTTTTATTTTAGAATAGTTTTTAAAATAATGTAGTTTACATTTTTCTATCCTATTTCTTTTGTTTAGTATTTCATCATATAAATATGAAACACACTCAATTGTCTCAAACTGATGTTTATGGTTTAATTTGGTTAAATGTAGAAATTGACTTGCCTAATCTTGAAACTTGAGAAAGTTACTTTTGCCTAAATTCCTTTCTCAAGAAGCCCACCATCTGGGCTTCCAGAGAGTATACATCTTGATGGTCTAAGCATCCACCTACTTGCTATTGACAAACTCCTCTTCCTTTCCCCTCCCTAATTTCTGTGTTCCTGCAAGTAGTTACCTTTCTTCCCTGCTATATAAACCCTTGTAGAAAATGAAAACAAAAGTTCTTCTTCAAAGCTTTCCTCTTAGTTCATTATAAATAGTAGGCTCTTTAAAAGTTAATTTACTCTAGACCCTTTGCTAATACTCATGAGTAGCTGTTAGCCATAAGAAAGAAAGAACTGTATCTAGGGTTCTTAGTTCTTACACTTTAAAACCTAGATATTTTCCCTGGCATGCCTGGACAAGCCCTGGGAAGTCTTAGATCGTAGCTTATTCCCCTTCCTTATTTGGTAATGTTATTGCTTCTCTAAGTCTTTCGTAAGTTACTTCCTCTTTTCCTTTGTTCTCTCTTGCCTTTACTCTTTTAGAAAATGTTTTGAGTTATTAGTCCATCGGTACAGTTGAGATTGTGAGGCCCAGCTCCTGCCAATGGAGGCAGGGAACAGCAGTAGGGGCCAGTCCATAAAGGATAAATATGTCTGTTTCTCCTTGTTCTTTGTACTGTCATGGCAAACTGCTGGGGAGTGTACCCTTTCTACATAAAATAAAGTTTCCTTGCTGATAGAAACTTTATATTTGAATACTACTTCTTTTTCGGCACCAAAAATTTACATATAACAATTCTTGTGGCCTGTATGGCAACCCATTCCCCTCTGGGGTGGTCTTTGGTTTTCTTTCATGAGGAGGCAACCCACTGCCTTGTCATAGCTGCCTCAGCTCTCAAAAGCCACAACACACCTGCTGTGAAAAATAAACCCAACTCTCAGCTACACAGGGGAAGAACGGCTTGCTATACTGTAGTGGCCAGGCAACTTCTGGGCACAGACTAAGGTAAGAAAAGTCACGAGAGTGATGAAGTATTTTCCTGGTGGTTGGGATATTCTGGAAGCAGAGAGGCCCTCCAGGGAGGGGGAAGAAGGTTAACCTCCCAGGAAAAAGGATAGGCAAGACATCTCTCGTTTGAGAGACTGGGCCTCAGCAAGCCTCTAGAAAGGATAAATGAGACAGCTCTGGTCTCAGAGATCTGAGAGGATTGAGCCTCCCAGAAAAAAGGATAGGCGAGACATCTCTGGTTTGAGAGACTGGACCTATCTGATACCCGAAATGGGGAATGCTTCTAGTAAAGTAGGCATGGGGAGTAAAAACAAAAAGGAGGGTGGGGGCAATCAGATCCTCTCTGACGGCCCTTTAAGGCTCACGCTAAAGTATTGGAAGGACAATGAAAGGACTAAACATAAGAAAAAGCAACAAATGATAAAGTATTGCTGTTTTACTTGGACTAAGGAATCAACCGCCCTCGGTTGTCTGGACGAAATTTAGGTCAGATAAGGATTGGGTCTGTCAACTCTTAATAATGTATGTCAACAACAAAAGCCCCATCTCACAAGAAAAAAATAAACTATGCTCTCTGTTGGCAGGAGCCAGTTCTCTACCCATTAAGGGAAAGAGAAAAACAATCAGGAAGTTAAGTCAGGAGCAGTCTCACCTAAAAAGGGTGGAGATTTTACCCATAAGCAATCCACATGTAAATAGGACCCTTTAGACCATCTTGCCTCATTTCCAACTCTAGCTCCTGCTCCCACCATCACCACGCGCTGCCTTTTCCTCCCCAAGCAGGTGCTGCCACCAGATAACCCAACCCAGAATTCCCTACTTCCCTGTATAACCCAGGCTCTTAGGAGCCATCTCAAAGACCTGATCATTGCCAGCCTGAGTGTTCTTCCTCGAAGAAAGGGCTCTGGAAGGACACAGAGCAACGTAAAAGAGATATTCAAAGTTTTCCTTTCCTCTCTTCCTCCATGGAATCAGCTTCAACTTCAAAGCTTTTTCCTCTAAAGGAGGCGCCTCAAGGAGTAGGCACAGTTGGTTTTCTGAAGCCTCAAAGAAGAGGCACAACTGGTTTTGTGAGGCCTCAAGGAGGAGGGGCATTTGGTTTTGTGAATGCTCCCTTGACTGCTTCTAAGGTCCAGAGTCTAATGGGAGAACGTAAGGCATTAGTAGATGACCCTGATGCAGTAGCAGAACAGATTGATCAGTTACATACTTTGACTGAGTTAATGTCCATTCTAAGTATTCTCTTTTCAAAGGAGGAAACTGCAGATGTGGAGAGCCAGGGAGAGAGAGAGAGAGTGTGCGCATGAATAAGATAGAGACTTAAGGAAGAGACCCTGTGAGTCTGGCAATAAAAGATTTAGACAGAAACAGAAATACAGAAAGGCAGAGAGAAAGAAAGAGAGAGAGAGAGAGAGAGAGAGAGAGAGAGAGAGAGAGAGAGAGAAATAGTAAAAGAGAGAGAGAAGGGAAAGTAATATTAATAATTTTATAGATATAAGAATGTACCTTTAGTAAGGAAAGTTATAAAACAATGTTGGAAAGTTAAGGCATGTCAAAGGTTAACTGAAAGTTGTGAAAAATGTTATAAAAAGAAATTTATGCAAGAAATGATGCATAATTTTTGTTTTGAAAGTTTAAGCAAGTTTTGAAATGTTAATTGTAAGGAAATTCTGTGTGTAAACATATCGGCTAAAATTAAAGAGGTATCATCCAGTTTTTCTGTAAACTGGATATTAACATAAAAGCACAGCAAGTTTTTCTTAAAGCACTCATCTGCTCTTTAACAAAGGTTGTAAAAGCTCTCTTAGCACAGGCACCACTCCTGGAACTTCCAGTACACCAATGCCAGCCTGGAGACCACCCTACCTCATCCTGCTAACCACCAAGACTGACATTGGTACAGCAGAAAAGGGATGAACACATCACACCAGTCAGGAAAGCTCCATCATCATCAGAGTCATGGACTATTGTTCCAGGTCAGACCCTACCAAGTTAAATCTAAGAAAATCTTAGACTATCTCTCTTTTATTTTTCTTTTCTTCCATTTAACTACTCTCCATCTTGTTAGTAATGTGATTAGATCTGACTCCCCTCAAGTTGTTGCTTTTGATGTTTGTTTAGTTATGGCTTGTGGAGATTTGCATAACAAGAAGAGCCTGCTGCTTTGGAAGGATGTCTCTGTCCCTCTTAGACTTCTGCAAATTAGGAATACATAATGAGCTCCTGCAAGCATACTAGTAATCCAAGGAATAGTAACTATATTGATTGGTAGGAATCAGACTCTTGCCCTTCTAAAACAGATTCTCTGTGTTCTGTTTGGTCTGATGTCATTTGGAAAACTAAGGGTTTAAGATAGACTGCTTCCACAGGTCTTCGTCAGTCCTTAAAACCATATATCCATTTCACCAAAGGAACTATTCCTAGCTCTCAATATAATCTGATACAGCTTACTATTGTTATTGCCATATCTGAAAACTCTTTCCTTCATTAAGTCTTAGTTTTGGTATAGGAGCTGACATTTCAGGAAACGACTGAAAGAAATTTTTGAAATATGCTTTATTGCTCCTTCAACCTCTTTATCAATCACTCCTCCTAGACACAATGAGAAAACCAGTCTCAGTGGTAGAAGTAGAAGACCTAAGCCAAACCATAGGCATTGCAACCGGATATAAGGATGCAAATGCCTGGTTATAATGGATTAAATATTCCATTAAATAAAAGCTTGTGCACACGGTAGACCAGACCCCAGATTGTTCCCTTTCCACTTGGATGGTCTAATCAAGTGGACATGAAGTGCCTAACAGCACTTTTTCATGATTACAGAGTTTGGAATAAACGACTGTGCCAAGTTCTTTTGCTGCTATTTTCTGAAATTCATCATCCTGCGGGTCATCCCCTGAGGGCCACCCCGACTCCATCTTCCAAGGCAAAATTTGCCACGTCTCTCGTGACAGGGGCAGAACGTAGTATTCCTTGGGAACGTAACAGGATGCAGTGAAGTCTGGCACTTCCAAGAGCTGACTCATCAGTCTGCCTTACTCATCCCCAAGCAGGTATATGGTAATATTGTAGAGAATCTTTACTCGACACTCATCCAAACAATGGGAGGGCACTTGCACTCTAGTCCACGTGGCTATCCCTTTTACCTTGGCATTTTATAAACCAGAAAAAAAGAAAATACAACACCGGCAAAGAAAGGAAGCCTCAGGAAAAGCCCCTTTATATGTCTTTTGATTCTCATGTCCATTTAGATGCAATTTGGATTCCTTGAGGTGTACCACATAAACTTAGAGCCTAAGATCAGACAGCTGCAGGATTTGAGCCAATGTTTTTCTGGTGAGTAACAATTAATAAAAATGTAGATTGGATAACTACATTTATTACAACCAACAGCAGTTTGTTAACTATACTAAAAAGGCTGCTAAAGAAACAACTGAACAATTAGAATCCACTAGCAAAGTGGTATAGGAGAACAGAATAACCTGAGACATAATATTAGGGACAAAAGGTAGTATTTGTGTTATGACGAAACCCTAGTGTTGTACCTTTATACCAAACAACACTGCTCCCGAGGGGAGCACAACAAAAGCCCTCAAAGGGCTCACTGCTTTATCAAATAAGTTAGCTAAAAATTATGGCATTACTAGCCCTATTTCAAATTAGCTCAAGAGATGGTTCAATCAATGAAAGGGGACCATAACCTCAGTTGTTAGCTTTAGGGCAACTGTGATGTGAACAACTAAGTCAAGATGCTAAACAAGTCTGAAGATGAATTATAAAAGAGGGGAAAATTGTAGAAAATAAAAATAAAACTTCCTTTTCAAAGTTTTCCTCTTAGTTCATTATAAATAATAGGTTCTTTAAAAGTTAGTTTACTCTTGATCGTTGGCTAATAATACTCCCGAGTAGCTGTTAGTCATAAGAAAGAAATAAGTGTATCCAATGTTCTTAGTTCTTACACTTTAACCTAGATATTTGCCCGGGAATCCCTGCAGAGGCCCCGGCAAGTCTTAGATTGTAGCTTATTCCCCTTCTGTATTTGGTAATGTTATTGCTTCTTTAAGTCTTTCATAAGTGACTTCCTATTTTCCTTTGTTTTCTCTTGCCTTCAACATTTTAGGAAATGTTTTGAGTTATTAGTCAATCAGTATAATTGAGATTGTGAGTCCCAGCTCCTGCCAATGGACTCTGGTCTTGTGGAGGATTCCTGTTTCCCACGCATTTTCTTTGTTTTTTTTGAGATGTAGTTTCACTCTTGTTGCCCAGACTGGAGTTCAATGGCACGATCTTCGCTTACTACAACCTCCACCTCCCAGGTTCAAGTGATTCTCCTGCCTCAGCCTCCAAAATACCTTGGATTACAGGAACCTGCCACCACACCCAGCTAATTTTTTTTGTACTTTGATTAGAGAAAGGGTTTCATCATGTTAGCTAGGCTGGTCTTGAACTCCTGACCTCAGGTGATTCATCTGCCTCAGCTTCCCACAGTGCTAGGATTACAGGCATGAGCCACTCTGCCCAGCCCTGTTCGCCTTTTTTTCTCTTTCCACCCAATAAAACCTTTTCCTACTCACCCTTCAGTCTGTGCGCTTAAATTTTCATGACCATGTGACAGATTGGAACCTCATCTTTAGGTGAACTGAGGAAAAGTCCTGCAACATTTTTGGCATTCATTGTGGGGACTTGAGAAGCAATGAGTGAAATGAGGCCTCAAAAGCTATCATTGTGACTTCTAAGCCTTTCATCTTGGGATTTCTTAGGGTAAAGAAAACACGTCCCCCAAACTCCATCACTCTCAGGGTCGGGGAAAAGCCCTTTTCTTCGTTTTGGGGGGAAAGACCGACTAGTGGGGTTCCTTGCTGCTCCTCTCTGGGCCAGGGTTGAGATGCATGACACAAGGGTCCTGCATAGCCAGCTGTCTGGTTTCCAGCCACAAGCTTTTGCAGCCTTCCTTTTCCCTGGCCAGACCAAGGGGTTCAGGCTTTTTCAAAGAGTAATGAAGCTCTTCCCCTGGTAGAGGAGCGACTTGGATAAGAATAAGAGATTATTTACCAGGCATTTTTTAACGTTTTTTTCTTTCTCCTACTCCAACCCATCAGCATTTTTTTTTATTTATTTATTTATTTATTTATTTATTTATTTATTTATTTATTTATTTATTTTTTCTAGAGGACGTTTTTATTAGGCCAGGTCCTACAACTATCACTATTTATACTTTCTGCAAAATTTTAGTTGCAAAATCAAGCCTCCATCTTGTTTTACAACCTGAGGGTATGGCTGATAACCACTTGGCAAGGCTTTGGTTAGCAATTCTGCCTTGGGGGATGAGCCCTCTCTAGTTGGAGTCTCCAGAAAACTCCAACCAGCCTGTGTGCTGGGAATGCACACTGGTCCAGCCTCAGCAAGTTTGTACCCTTTGCCGTAAGGAAAGAGCCTGGCCCCTCCTCTTCCTGTGTGAAACCTGGAATTCAAGCTGCGGGCATTAAGCATTCTAGCAGGGACTGGCCTTGTAGAGGATCCCTGTTTCCCATTTTTTTCCCCTTTTCACCCAATAAACCCCTGTCTTACCCTTCAAACTCTCTCTGAGCCCAAATTTCTGTGACCATGGGACAAAGACCCCATCTTTAGCTACCCTAAGGAGAAGTCCTTCAACACAACAGCTTAATTTCATATTCTCTTAGATAATCCTTTTGTTTCCAATGCTTGCTATTATAAATAAAAAGATTCTGCTATAAATAATTTGGAAATGTCTACCTGAGACAAGTGCAAGACTTTCTTAGTTATTAAACTGGGAATGGACAAACTGTGTTGAAAAGTTTTAAAAAGAATGATATTCAAACTATTTAGCTACAGTAAGGTCAAGGGCAATGCCCTAACAGAATACAAGCCAACAACTTACTGCCCTATTTGAGTGTGGAACAAAAGACTTATTCATGGATACAAATGTGTTAATAATTATTAAATAATTCCAGATGACTTCCACGCGTTTATATTACCACCAACAGAAAATGAGGGTTAGCTTTGTTCCACTTAGTTGCCAGACTTGAAAGTTTTTGTGAGAAAGTAACACATCATGTTTTTTTTTCTCTCTGCATTTTCTGAATAATTAATGAGTAATGAAATGTTTTCCTGAATCAATGCTCATTTTGTTTCATGTTTTAATAATTTCTGTTCTTGGCCAGGTAGGGTGGCTCATGCCTGTAATTCCAGCACTTTGGGAGGTCGAGGTGGACATATCATGATGTCAAGAGATCAAGACCATCCTGGCCAGCATGGTGAAACTCCGTCTTTAATAAAAATACAAAAATTAGCTGGGTGTGGTGGTGTGCACCTGTAGTCCAGCTACTCAGGAAGCTGAGGCAGCAGAATCACTTGACCCTGTGAGGCAGAGGTTGCGGTGAGCCGAGATTGCACCACTTCACTCAAGCCTGGTGAGAGAGTGAGACTCTGTCTCTAAAACAAAAAAAAAGAAGAACAGAATTCTTGTTCCTTTTATTTTCTAGTGGGTTATTTGTATTTTTCCTATTACTTTGGAGGAATTCCACAAATTCTTTACCTTTGAATGTTGGTTGTTAGTGTTCCAGATGGTTTCTCCCAGTGTGTGGCTGTCATACTTGTGTTTTTGATCATGATGAGTTATTACTTATAGTGTACTTTATATTTATGATGTAAATATAATTATCATGTTTCTGCTCTCTGACCCTGAAATCATATTCTCTAACATTATTTTTAATATGTTGTGAATTATCATAGTTCCTTTTTTCTTTATCTGGAAAGCCAGTTGCTCCAGAAAATCTAGTGAAATTTCATCCACTCTTACCACTTTTATCTGAAATGTCACTGTGTCATAAAACAAGATTACACATCAGAGTAGACATGGTTTTTAGGCTATACTTTTTGTTCTGTTAATTAACTTTTCTTTCTTTGTGCAAATACTTAACTCTTGATTTTGTACTATCATTTTTATTACATTTTTCTAGTTTGATGAGGCAAGCCCCCTAACTTTGTTTTCTTAAATTATCATTTTGGCTATTTTTAGTCTCTCATCTTCTTATATATGCATTTTAGAATGACAAAACATTTCAATCACAATCCATTTAATTGAAAATCATTACATGTATATATTAATGTGGAAAGACTTAATATGTCAGTTATATCAAACACACTAGTCCATAATCAATTATCTGTGATTTCTATAATTCATTTGGATTAATATTTGACCTTTTCTCAAAATGGAGTGAGATTTAATTTCACTAAAAATTAATTATTTAAGTATGAATCCACTTAGTCAGCACAGGTTAACCAAGGAAATGTGTGGGACATTAACAAATAAGGGAAAGGTCAAATTTTCTACCCTCTGGTTATAGTGGAATATTCTGTCTCCTCTCAAATACTGTATGTGGTGCAAGAAAATTTGACATGTGGCCAGAGTGTGCAGCTATAAAAATCACAAATTTCTTATTGGCAATACTTGTTTAAGTTTGAATAAAATAAATATAAATGTTCTTCCCCAGCCATAATTGATCATTTCCAACATTTTGTTATGTTGCAACCCATTTTTGGACATCTGTAGAATACAGAGATCTAGACAACTACCTTAGTTCTTTCACTTAAGACATGGAACATATAATCTAGTCCTGTAAAGAACTTAGATTACTTCTTACACATGAAATGCACCTTCACACTAAATGTGTCTGCTTAAATGTCTCCATGATCTGGACTGTCTTCCGGTTTTCTGCTAATAGCAATCTATTCTTCTTTTGTAAACACCTTCAAATGTAATTTTTATTATATTATCCTACTAAACTAACACATGTGATTTCATAGTAGCTATTGTTATTCGTCAATGTGCATGTTTCCTTCATTATTCCTGTGTGTGGTATCAGCAGTTAGATAATATTAATACTAGATTACAAATATTTAACACAGTGGCAGAGAATACGACACAGCCATAAAAAATGATGAGTTCCTGTCCTTCGTAGGGACATGGATGAATCTAGAAACCATCATTCTCAGCAAACTGACACAAAAACAGAAAATCAAATACTGCATGTTCTCACTCATAGGCAGGTGTTGAACAATGAAAACACATGGACACAGGGAGGGGAGCATCACACACTGGGGTCTGTTGGAAGGGACTAGGGGAGGGATGGGGAAGTGAGGAGGTTGGGGGTCATAACATGGGAGAATTACCAGATATAGGTAACGAGGGGATGGAGGCATCAAACCACCTTGCCATGTATGTACCTATGTAACAATCCTGTATGATCTGCACATGTACCCCAGAATCTAAAGTACAATTAAAAAATCTATATATATTATCTTAAATTGATTCTTTTCAAACTTTACATTGGTTTGAAATTAAATATTAACACTGCCATAATGATTATATCTGTTTTGTATGTAAGAATCTGTAATTATATATATATTTAAATTGTATTATATTTACATATGATAAACTTTAAATGGCTAATATTCAATGAAATATTATTTATGCAATTTTATTTAGCTGTATAATACTCTTAAGAATTACATAGGAGGCTGAGGAAGGAGAATTGCCTGAACCCAGGAGGCGGAGGTTGCAGTGAGCCGAGATCGCGCCACTGCACTCCAGCCTGGGTAATAAGAGTGAAACTCCGTCAAAAAAAAAAGAATTACATGTGATTAGTGTCTTCTTAGTGTTTCAAATCTTTGCTCTGCCAATTAATCAATGCTTAAAATCTATTCCATAGTTTAAGATATATTCTGTAGTTCTGAATAGAGTAATAAAGTATCTATGCTAGAAGAGAATTTGGAGATTATCTTGATTTATATCTTCACTGTGTAGATATTTTATTTTCTATTGGAAGCAAATTATTATCTCATAAACTGGGGATTTAAACTTTGAGTATGTAGATTATAAATGTTCTAGGCATAATTTTAAAGCACAGTCATCCTGTTAATACGGAGTCATCCTCTTATATCATGAATAAAAATGGCTCATTGTGAGAGAATATTCAATCAATTTCAAAAGGAAACAATCTCTATGACAATTCTGAAATACTGTTCAAAAGATTGGCTTAATTTTTAAATTAATATTGTGCATTTTGCTTTTAAGATGTGTTATAAGTAACTTACAGACAATATACTTCAGAGTTTTTAATTGTAACCAAAAAATTTCACTGTAATTTTGAATCATCAATTCATTTGTACATGTATGCAATTGTACAAAGATGCATATTTTGAACTTATTGCATTTACAAATTAAAGATTAAAATTTAAAGTAATGAATGTTGCTTTGTTCTAGTTTTCCATAGTTTGCGAAAAATTCAAATTATTTTAGATCTCATTTGGGGGTGCTTTTATTAAATACTGTGTTTCATAATATATTTGTTAAATCTAGAGACAGTTTGATATTTGGAATTTTATTCTTAATTCTACTATTGATGTGATCATCTAATTCCTTTGATTTCCACTATTAGAAGAAAGGATATGAATTTGTAAAACAATGTAATATATTGCATCATATGGACATTCACTCATATTCTGTTTTATATTTCTTTCCCAGTACTTTATCCCATCATTTCTGAAGTTGCATGACATATTTAGAATAGAGAAGTAGAGAAGATTATCACGGATACAAACTCCATGATCATATAAATTGGAGCAATTTCAATATTACTTCATACAAGTTATATAATATTTAATAGGATATAGAGATAATACATGGACTTATAATTGCTAGGAACTAGTATTTGCTTTTTAGAAATCTAAGTTTAGTCCTTTTTAATCTGATTCCCTCATGTATTTTAATTACCTTTATTTTTAGATAATGTATATTCAAAAATAGTTGTAAGAAATAACAAAAAGAGATCCTGTATTTATTTACTCAGGTTTCCTCATTAATAACTTTTTGAGACACTTTAGTAGAAGATCATAAACCAGAAAACCACAAGGACCCCTCATATTGCTTTTTTATTTATTATCTGCATAAACTGTAGTTATAAGTGCAATTATATTACCTGGATATAGTTCAGAGGCAAAATCTGTGCTTTTAGTTTAACCATCACTTGATTAGTATGCATTGCCCACAGTAATTTATCATTAGTCTCCCCCTACCCTTCTGAGCCTTCAGTGCCTATCATTTCATATGCTATGTCCACATGTACACATTTAGCTCTCATGTATATGTGAGAACATTTTGTATTTCACTTTCTGCTTGAGTTGTTTTACTTAAGGTAATGGTCTCCAGTTCCATCCATGTTGCTGCAAAATACATGTTTCTATTCTTTTTAATGGCTGTGCAGTATTAAATGGTACCTATATACCACAATTTGTTAATTCAATCATCTGTTGAGGGACACTTAGATTGACTCCATTACATTGATATTGTAGATAGTACTGTGATAAACATGAGTGTAGCTATCTTTTTAATATAATAATTTCTTTTCTATTGGCTACATACCCAGTAGTGTAATTGCTGAATTGAAAGGTAATTCTGTTTTGAGTTACTTGAGTAGGTTCCATAAGCTGTTTTCAATACACATTGTTTTAAATTACATTCCCACCCAAAGTGCATAAGCATTCCCTTTTCTTTGCATCCTGGCATGTTATTTTTTATCTTTTCTTTTTTTACTTCAATAGCTCTTGGGGTACACGTTTTTTGATTACATGAATTAATCATAAAGTGGTGAAGTCTAAGGTCTGCCATGTTAGTTTATCCATCACTTAAGTGGTATACATTGTATACAATTTGTAGTTTTTTATTCCTCACCTGCCTTCTATCCTTCCTGTTCTGAGTCTCAAGAGTCCTTTGAATCACTTTGTATACCTCTGGGTACCCAAAGCTTAGTTATCACTAATAAGTGAGAACATAGGTACTTTGTTTTCTATTCCTGAGTTACTTCACTTAGAATAATAGCCTCCAGCTCCATCCAGGTTGCTGCAAAAGACATTATTTAATTATTTCTATAGCAGAGTAGTATTCTGTGATGTATATGTACCACATTTTTAGCCACTCATCGATTGATGGGCACTTAGGTTGGTTCTTATCTTTGCAATTGTGAATTTTGTTGCTTAATAAAAGCCATTGATGAGTGTAAGATGGTATCTCATTGTGGTTTGACTTGTATTTCTCTTATTATTAAGAAGTCAAGTGTTTTATTTTTTATATCCTTCTTGATCATGTGTATGTCTACTTTTAAAAATATATTTTCAGGTCTTTTGCCTACTTTCTAGTGGAGTTTGTGTATATTGTTGTTGATGACTTGAGTTTCTTGTAAATAAATTCTGAGTATCAGTCCCCTATCAGATTCATAGTTTGAATATATTTTCTATCATTCTGCAGGTTTTCTGTTTATTCTGTTGATTATATTTTATTTCTGTGAAGAATATTTATATTTTAAGTCCCATTTGTCTATTTTTGTTTTTGCCGCTTGTGCTTTGGATGTCGTATTCATGAATTATTTGCCTAGACTGAAAGAGGAGGCAGTTAGGGTCTCAGACAGAGAAGGGGTGGTCTCAGGAGGACAGAAAAGGGCAAAGGAAAAACCACAGGATAGCACCTATGTTGTTTCTGCAGCTAATGGAAAGTAATATGGTTAAGACATTTTCCTTGTGTTAGGATGTTGCTCAGAAGAGACTGTCCCCACTTAGGTAGAGTTGCAATAAATCAACCTAAATGTCCTTAATTGAGCTCATTAAAATGTTGTTAACATGACATTAGCATTGTGTTTTTGCCCTTTCCTCAGTGCCGCCCCCCACCATGGATTTTGCTTAGCACTCATGGGTAATAAACAAGACGGAGTCACTCTGGCCAAACCTAGGCATATGCAGATGCAGCACCCCTAGGAGGGAACTTTCTCTCTTATTTGGGAAAAACACACAGAAGATTTTTTGGCTACTGTCATATAAAAATCTAGAACTCTGTACCACTTCTGGAAACCTGCTATCAAGGCCCCCTCTCTTTGCTGAGAGCTTTCCTTTTTCTTTGCTCTCTGATGTCGGTATGTCTTATTCTACTTGGTCATGAGACAAGAACACAAACCTACCTTAAGTGGGGACTAAGCAACAGACTGTAAGAAGATCAATGTTCAGAAAAGTTTTTCCAGGTTTCTTCTAGAATTTTTATGGTTTTTAGGTCTTACATTTAAGTCTTTGATCCATCTTGAGTTGATGCTTGCATATGATGAATGATAAGGGTTCTGCTTCATTTTTCTGCATATGACAATCTAATTTTCTCAGCACCATTTTTTTGAAAAAGTTGTTCTTTCCCCAGTATATGCTTTTGTTGACTTTCTTAAAAATAACTTGTCTGAAGATCTGTGGCTCTACTTCTGGGTCCCCTATTTGGTTCTGATATCTATTTGTATACCAGTACCATCCTGTTTTTGTTAATATAGCCTTGTAGTATAATTTGAGGTGAGGTAATGTGATACTTTCAGGATTTTTTCTTGTTGCTTAGAATGGCATTGACTATTGCTGCTCTTTTTCACTTCCATGTGAACTTTAGAATTTTTTTTAATTCTGTGAATTAAGACATATTTAGATAGAGATTGGATTGAATCTACAGAAATCGCTTTGGGCAGTATGGTCATTTTAACAATGTTAATTCTTTCAATTCAGGAACCTGTTTTTTTCTTTTCTATTTATTTGTGTCACCTATGATTTCTTTCATCAATGTTTTGTAGCTTTCCTATAGAGATCTTCTACTTCCTTGCTTAAATGTACTCTTAGTATCTTATTTTATTACTTACTATAAATAAGATTGCTTTCTTGATGTGGTTCTTAGCTTGAGCTATACACGTCATTGATTTTCTTGTATGTTGATTTTGTATTATGAAACATTACTGAGTGTTTTTATCAAATCCAAGAGTTTTAGGGAGGAGTCTTTGGGGTTTTTTAGGTATAAAATTGTATCAGCAAACTGAGATAATTTGATTTTCTCTTTTTCAATTTGAATGCCTTTTATTTCTTTCTCTTGCCTGATTGCTCTGGCTATGACTTCCAATACTATAATGAATAGGAGTATTGAAAACAGTCTCTCATAATTCCCAGATTTCCTTCCTCACCTCTATCTTCTTAAACCCTGCCAACCACTTATTTGTTTTATATTTCTATAATTTTGTCATTTTAAGGATGCTAGGAATGAAAATATTAATCCTTTTTACTATTTTTTGTACATTCCTGAGTAATTTTCTGAA